CTGGGCAACATGACAACATTTTGTAATTATTGTTATAAATTACATTACAGTATGTCACAATATGTTGTTCTGAGCATATTCTGGATATCGGCAGTACTTGAAAAAAAATAAGCAACTGCTTTGATTAAAAATTTAATTGGATTTTATGCAGCAGAGTATGTGAAATGGTAAGTACAAATCACTGGATTCATAGTTTTTGATAATGTGACATGACTTGGTCCATTCAAACTTTTCAGATGTCAGAAAAAATGAATATCATGGCATGTCATGTATTGTAAAAACTTCTTGAAGTATTGTGATACTGCATTTTTGCCACCCCTACTCTCCTAACAGTGTAATATTTCACACACATACAAATGAACACTATTACAAATACAAATAAATACTATTATTATGAAATTAATAACATCTTCTAAATTGAGGTATTTTGACAAAAACTGAGTTAGAGCTTTAATGTCTCACTAGGTTGAATGGGGATTTGTTTGCCAGTGTTCTGTAAAGTTTGTCCTACTTCGCAGAGTTGCTACGAAAGAATGCATTAGTTGGTGGAGCATGGACAGTGAAGTGCCGAGGTGAGAGTTTACACAAATTAAAAGAGGATTAACAGTGTGCTTTTGTGAGTTCTTGATAGGCATAATAAGGAAAAGATTCTGCTGCTGTGCTCTAAACTTGAGATTACTTAACCACTGATTTTAATGTGCTTCTTTGTGGGGAAGATGTGGTTTGCAGTAGGATGTGGTGGGATTGTTGCCATGGGACACCATTTCAAGGATTGTGTTTTTATTTCCTGAAAAAAATACATTGGTTTCTTATTTCTTCAACAACACGCGTTTACATCAAAACCAGAGCTGGTAGAAGGACAATTTGTGCTATCCCGACCCGTTTGGGCGTCTGGTGCCACGTTCCGTACTCCAAAAGGCTGGAAATAGCTCAGTGTAGTCAGGAAGCCTGGCTGGTGAAGCAGTTGGTGTTGAATGGCGCATAGCTTGTTGGCCTTGGCTGGAGCACTTGGACCTTTTGGTTCTTGGACCAAGTGCTTTCATAGCAAGACAATGGCTCCAGTAATGATACAGGCTGCGCCATTTTTCCTCTGTGTTCTCCAAGGCAGACTGTTCATTTGAATTTCAAAATGAGCCTTTGACTTGGACAGTGTCCATCTGCCTGATTACAAAAAAACATCCCTCATACAGCACTACATTACATACATTTTCTTCAGAAACAAACGGCTCCCATATTTGAAGTGGAACTCCCATGCACATTTCCATACCATTCTGGAGCTCTGTGTGTGTGGCACTGCAATCAATAATCTCTCTCATCATCTGTCCATTCATTTGGCTTCATTTGTCATTGACTCTGCTCTTTCATCGCAGTAAATAAGAGATTTCTGGCCTATTGAGCAGAGCAAGAGAAATGGAGTGGCCATTACTAAATGTGTCTGGCATTCAGAGAAAAAATGCTCAATTGTTCATTATGATGCTGACAGATGGGTTCTGAATGTGTCTCCAGTCTGTTGTGCATTATATTTTGACATGCTCAACTGTTTTTTCTTGAAATGGTGAAATATCTGAAGTAGAGCAAATACATGGACTCAAATGGAGTCATTAGCAAATTGTTCCTTGACTTTGTCAGTCAACCACACAGTTTTGTGGTTCTCTGTTTGGTGCTGAAAGTTCCCGTCATTACTGTTAGGAGTCACCCTGTACTTGCGCCTCATAAAAACATGAATGCGTCAGTGCATAAATTCGTGTGATCATACTGCTCTTGGGAAGAGCACTAACACAGAACTTGTGAAAAGCATGACCATGAGGACATAAGTGTAGGGCTGTTTGATGTGGACAAAATACCAATTATTTGTGCTTGTATTGCATTTACAGTGCTATATTAAAATCACATTTGTGAACTCTTGATGTGACTTAAGATTATTTTCAAATCTGTTTCACATTTGTTGGATCACCTGAATGCCTTAATTTATGAAAAACACCCAGTAATAAGTAAATAAAATTCACAACAAGCAGAATGTGAGCCAGATGTGTTTTATTAGTTGGCTTGAGTCAAATAAACGTAAATAAAAAAGTCTAACTTTTATAGTTCTAACCTAAAGTTCTGACTTTTTAACTGTGCGCTATTACACATTTAGGGAGATATTTGTTTGTCAATTTGAGGGGTATTATTGTTAACTAAAACTATTACTTAAATGAAAACTGGCAGTGAAAAAACACAATTATAACCGCCTGGTCGCAACAAGCCAGATGCGTTTTCATTAATTGGCCTGAGCCAAATAAATGCAAATAAAAAAAATCACTTCTTTCTTCTGCCTTTTCTTTTTCTGACTTAAAGTTCTAACTTCTAAATGCATGCTGTAACACATTTAGGGGTAATGTTTGTTTGTTAATTTGTTAGCTAGTACAGCTAATGCTAATTTTAGCATACATGCTTGCAGAACAAGTATTTTTTGCTCACATTATCATAGTCTCAAAAGAAAAATGTAAGCTCTGGTTGACTGGGTACCTGTAGACACTTGTTTTTGCAAACTACAGTGCACTACATTCTGTTAGGTGCATAGTGAATAGCCAGCTAGGCAAAACAGTTAAAAAGCCAGTTTAGCTTCTTTACACTTGTACTGTATTAGTTGCATAAAATGAACAAAACAGACAATTAAATTGTTATATATAATATCCCATTTTCATACAACCGTTAATTGCCAGCTAACAGTTCATGATTGGGACAGGCCAGGTTAACTGTAATAAAAATAGCAAATTTTAAAAAACACAAAAACTATACCATCCACTGCAAAACTCTCTGAAACAAAATGGAAAAAACTTTAGTTTTTGTTTTGTTTTTTTAAGTGAAGTAGAGTTTATTAGTGGATGTCTGCTGTGTTTTGCTGTCCTTAAGGACAGCTGAAGCTGAGCTGAGCTCAGTGTTCGTCATAGTATTAAAAACTAAAACTGAAACTAAATAAAAACTAAAATAAAACTTTTACTTTTTACAGAAATACGGAAATATAAACAAAGGGAAATCTATGAATGCACCTTCAGACTAACTGAAACATAACTTATGAAAAACTAATGAAAATTTCAAAACTATAATAACCCTGGTGCATTTAATGCTAATTTTAGCATGAATGCTTGCAGAACAAGTTTTTTTTGCTCACACTTTCACAGTTTTGAGAAAAATATAAGCTGTGGTTGACTCTTTGTAAGTGTAGACACTTGTTACTTAGAATAAAATGCAGTGTATCTTCTCATGTTAGTTGCAAAGTAAAGAGCTAGCTAAGCACGATAGCTTATAAACCAGTTTAGCTGCCTTAGACTTTATTAGTTGCATGAAATGAACAAAACAGAGAATTAAATCGTTAATTGCAATTATTTATATAGGAAATTAATCATCAGCTAAAATATCATGGTCATGACAGGCCTAACTGTAAACTGTCAGGAAAAAATGCTGTCACTGTGTTCTTCAATACTTCTAGTTGAAGAACTTACTTGTACCATATCTGTGACTTTTCTTTTTTTTTTTTTAAGTTGACTTTATAGAGCCGGTCTTGACTTGAGGATTTTTGTTTTGTTGTTCAATTGAAAAAAGACAAGAAAAGAACAAATATGCTTATTTTCTCCAGGAAAGTAAATGTAGTGTTCCTTAAAAATTCATTTATGGTACATAATTGCATCTTATGGACTGTGTTGCACCTTTGTACAACTCACATTGTTTGTACCTTAGGGAGCAAAAATGTTCCTGTCTGGTAACTACTGACAGTATAATTTGTTCAATGTTACAATAATGATTAATTAGTATCAATAAGGATATATTGTTCAGCCATTTGAGTGCGTAGCACATTTTCTACTCTCCCTGTGCGGGCTCTGATTAGAATTTATGGCTCCCCTTGTTGCTGCATTTAATTCTGAAGTGGTTCACAGAAGTTTCACATAGAAACTTGTGCCCTGTACTGGTTGTTGAAATATCAGGGAATCAGCACCCTCTAGTGGAAGACTAGAAATCTGCAGTGTTCACTGAAAAACTGAAATTTAAATGAGCTCTGCTCTGTCAGTGAGGCCTTAAATGTCAGTTGTAAAATCGTGGTATATAAAATTGACACCAAGTGTTTTTGTTATCCAGTAATTTTAAAATATTTGTTTTAATTAAATTGCATCTTTATCTTATATTGAAAGTGATTGTTACAGCTCAACATGTAACAGGTATTTTTAATTATTTAATGCCTATGATTTTACACCAATTATATCTTGAGGAGCGCAATATTGCATTAATAAATGGATGAATAGGCACATGCATTCATCATAATACTAAAAACTAAAACTTAAACTAAATAGACAGTTTGTTGACTTTAAAAAACTGTTTTTACTAAAGTCATAAAATGTTTAAAAGTATCTGTATTTTCAGTATTCCAAAACTTTCAGCAGTATCAGTGTTCAGTATCAGTCTCATGATATTAGCCTTTGTTTTAGACAGTATCAGGTCGAAAGGAGCATCTCTAATATTACCCATTCCTAATCTGTATTTGCATCTGTGTGTCTGTAACAGGCTTTAAATTTTTAGCCTATTTTTGAAACAGTGACAGGTTGATAGACAAAATGTTCCAGCTTGAGGTGGAAACGAAAATAGTAGTAATTCATAGAATGATGCATTACTCATAAGCAAGAGAAGGACAGTGGAGCCTAGTGGTGGTAGTGATGAATCCAGTGTATTATGAGATTCTTTTATTGTTAACTATTAAATGTAGATCTGTTTCCTTTGGCATGTTACAGTATGCGCAGCACAAAAAGCACTCAAAAAAAAAACACAGTGGAAACAAAAAATACAGTGGAGTGTGCATGAGTGCTGTAAGGACAGGGCCTTGACAGCAGTTTGCCACTCATGCCACAGTCACCAGCTGGAAGTGAGGATTAGGGTCTTACATAAAGCAACGCTGCACTGTGTGAAATGTTCACCCATTTGTGTGTGTGTTGTTGAGTGTTTGAGTGTTTTTATCTCTCTACATCCAGCCTGCAGGCGAGGGGAGGGAGACCCAGCATGGCTGAGGCTGATGGAGAGAGCAGCAGCAGTCAGCAGAGAAAGAAGCCGCCCTGGCTCCAACTCGACATCCCCACCACACACGGCCCAATGGAGGAGCACAACAGCTTCCTGCAGGTATCCCTTAGAATCCCTTAGAATCCATCCCTTTATACCATGGAATTGAACAGGCTGTTTTATTGCTGTGCCTGTATGTAAATGAGCCCTGTTCCGATTGGCTGCTTCAGGGAAATCAGAAAAAATAAACTTTCACCAGAAACAGCAGAGTGTTGAATCATTCTACTCCAATAACTGCACACTGACTGTCTGCAGTAGGAACACTCCTCATTACTTCAGCATAAACAGGTGGGCTAAACTGCCGTAGGCTGAGTGGCTGTTATTTGTAATTGTGTTTGTGACATCACAACCATAACAAATTTAAAACAGATTTTTTTTCTTTCTGCAGCTTATTTTCAGTAGTGGGCTGTGCTGTCGCAAGTAAAAGTTTGGGTGCCCCTGGTCAAATTACAAATTACAAAAAACAAATGTTTTGTTGACTTTCTAAGTAAAAATAAGTACACACACCCTCTAGAGAGAACCTACTTCTCTACATAATTACTGTTTATCTGCTAATTTAACAAATTGGGGTAAAACATAAAATGCATCCTGTGCAAAAGGTAATAAGGAAAATAAGTTAATGAATAAAAAAATGTGCACTTTGGAACAGCAGGTCTGGAGTAACTTCACTGTCCAACAAGGTGCTTGGTATGAGCAAAAACATTTACTGACTTTATCCACACTTTATTTGTAACTGACGTGTTGCGGCACATAGGCCTTCATCGGGGTTGAAGCGAATAATGATTGCATTGTTGTTTAAATACACAAATAACAGGAAATACAATTTAAAAACAACCAATAAAATGACTTAAACACCCATCTTCCAATCAGAACAAAGGAAGTTACAGAGTCAACCACTAGGCAGCTTGCGCATCTCAAATGAACAACTTTCAGCTTTTACTTAAAACTAACAAGCATTCAAAATAAAGTAAAGAGAACTTTTAAGGTGACCCTGACATCAAAATTGTGCACAAAAAATTGCATAAAAAATGCCATAATGAGTTATTTCCCCATAGAGGATGTGTTAACTTATATTCTCTTAGAAAATCAAGAAGTGTTCAAACTTTTGCATAAGACGGTAGGGACTAAGGAGGTAACTGTACATTACATCAAACTCTTCTGCACTCTTCAGTCTACTGATGTAGGTACAATAAGGTCAATTATTGTTTATATTATTGTGGTTGCTGTAAGTTGCTTTGGTAGGTGATTGTCGAGGTTCAGTGTGGTAAGGCACTGCTGTGACTTAATGCAATTTAAAGTGTATCCTTTAAGATGAGCCGTGCTTTAATATCACCTGGGCCTTCACAACATGGACACTATTCAGGCTGTAATTAGTCTTACACACAGCATTTGCTCTGATCTGTGTTATACAGATTTGCTGCTGTTAATGTATTTAGTGTGATGTGAACACTTCAGTACGTGCTCTATTCTCTCCTCTAGCCATGGGCACGTAACAGCTTGTACCTGCGCAGTGCCAGTGTGCCCACTGAGAACATCCAGCTCAGATGCCCGCCGGTGGACCCCAATGCCTGCCACAGACCGTCAGTACTGCGAAAACCCTCCATCTCCCAGACCATCAAAAGGTACAAGCACACACACAAACGTGTGTGTATTTATTTGGCTCCAGATGTCTCTTAATGCCCCCAGTCAACACATGGTTCTGTTAAATTCCATCACCAGTGCTTGATTTACCATTATGAAGTACTGACTGAGCTAAACTAGGTATTGGATGATAACTACAAATAATCCTGGGCTGCCACAAGCAGAGGTCTGGAAAGGGTTAAACAAAAGCATATGGCATATGTAGAATCACTACTTATTGTATTAATGTTATTTTTTCCGAGCAAATAAACACTTACATAACAGTATATACTGTGCTTTACATTATATACTTTGCTTAAAACTCATCAGATTGGTCTGGATTATGAATGACACTTTGACAGTTTGTGCTGTGTTATATTTTATTTCAAAAGACTGACGCTTAAAATTAATCACTTTAAAGTGATATTGGTTTTATGAAGAAAATATTTTGTGACAAAAACTACTGAAAAATACTGTTTGCACAAGTATTCAACCTCATGTGCTGCAGAAGCTCCTAGTCTGCACAAATGAAATATATTTCCCTAGTGATAACAAGAATATAGTTGGCTTACAATTGGCCTTTACCTGTGAATCACGAAAGGAGTTCATGTAATTGCATCATATCACCTGCCTAAACAAGGTTGTCCCTCAAAACTCAGCATCAGAGCAAGGAAGGGACTTGTGAGTTCAGTGGCTGAGATTAGAGTAAAGGTACACCAGTCAACGAAATCTAGAGTTCTGCATACAACTGGCCTGTATGGGAGGGTGGCTAGAAAGAAGCCATTACTGAAAAAAAAACACATCAAAGCATTTGTGGAGTTTGTCAGAAAGCATAGCAGTGACCCAGCTAAAATGTAGCATAAGGTTTTGTGGTCAGATGAGACAAAAGTGAGTTTTTTGGCCAAAATTCAAAATGCTGTTTGTGGTGCAAACCAAACATTGTCCATTCCTCAACAAACACAGCTTCATGTTGTGGGGATGCTCTTATTCAGTGGGGTCTGATCTGGGCATCTTGTTAAAACTGAAGGTTGGTTGGATGTTGCAAAATACAAGGAGATACTGCTAGACAACCTGCTTCAGTCTGCTAAAAAAGTAAAGCTTGGCAGAAACTTCACCTTTCAGCAAAACAGTGATCCCAAGCACAAGGCCAAAGAAACACAGAAGTGGTTGAACAACAAAAAAAATCACTGTTCTACAATGGCCAGGTCAAAGTCCAGATCTCAATACAATTTAAAAAAGTGTCATCTATCTCACCTGAACAACCTGGAGCAAATCTGCCAGCAAGATTAATTCCAAACAGTGTGCAAAACTGGTAGAAACTTTTTTGGTTTTATGAGTACTTGGTTTTAACAGGTACTAGTCTGAAGGGGCATTTTTCAGTTTTCTTTTTTTTTTAAAGATCTGCTAACAGGTAACTTATTTTGGTTTTGAAAATATGCTTGAAGAGCATAGTGGTGTGCAGTAAAAATCCTGTCTGAAACAATCTGTATAAGTGTCATTTGTAATCCAGATGAATCTGGTGACTTTTGAAGGGGTTTGAATACTTTTGCAAAGCATTGTATATGTACTAAGAATTTTATAAGCCTAAACCTAACACTAACACCAAAAGTCGGGACCATTGAGCTGCTTCTGACCTTACAGGTTGCCCCTGTTTCTCTCTGGGTTTTGTACAAAGGCCGGACATATTTGTCCAAAAAATGTATGAAAACAAAGGCACACATGCAGGTACATATCAGCATATTGCACATATTTTGTGTGTTTGTGTTTGTAAATACAAATCTGAATGTGCATTCTGCCAAAACAGCAGTCAACATAGTCAGCAGAGTAGCATAGTTTTTGTACAATTTGTATAATAGCCTCCTCTGTTAGCTTTCATTATCATATTAGTTTACTTTCCTTTTTGAAAGTTCTAAACTCTGAGGTGTTCTTTTATCAAACATTATTTTACTTCTTCAATATAAAATGGAACATCTTTGTGTAGGTCGTTCCATTTTTTACATGCTTTTCTGCTCTAGATTATGCCTTTGTTCCCATTTGCATTGCATTTGTCTGTCACCATCTGTCAGTGTATTGATTCCCTCTCCGACTTTCTTCCAGCTTTTTTTCTGCAGATCTAAAATCTGTTTAATGCTGCTTATCCTTCTGAAATATTTCCAGTGTAATCTTTGAACTTGTAGTGCTTTCAACTGTACTTTTCAAACTTGTATATTTTAACTTCTTTCTAAAAAATTATTTTCTAACTGAGTTCACCTCTTTCTAACTGCGTTCACCTCTCTCTTTCTCTTCCTTTCTTTCCCATTTCCTCTTCCTCCTGCCTCCCCCTGCTGGGCCCTCTCACAGCCCCACAGGGAAGAGGGTGCGTTTTGAGCAGATGAGCACGGTGCTGGTTAAAGGCCAGTGCTTGTCCCGCCTGGATGCCCCCAGGCGCCAGTCTCTGCCCCAAATCGTCCTCAGGTACTGTAGAGCAAAGAAAGATGCCCTCCAGACCACAGACAGGTTTCTATCCGAGAGATGAAAATTATTTTACATGCATGCGAAAGGTCATGCCGTTAGATGAAGGTTTTTTTTATTGTATATTTACGCTAACGTTAGCATGGTGGCAAATGCCTCATTGTTGTTTGTTGTTTCAACCTGGCTAGTTTCAAATAGCAGTAACAACATAGTCCAGCTCAGTAGTGTAACATTTTAAACTGAAAATGCAACACTGTTTATCAACTCTTAAGTAAGTGCATTACAATCTCTTTAGGTTAGATGTTCTACAAAGCTTATTCAATTTTGGTTGCTACTAAAAACAGACAAAGACTACTATTGACAACAAACAATGGATTGGTCATTTATTATACAATCATTGAAACCTTTCTATCCGATTTTAGTGGGTAAATTGTTTGCTGATACTTGAAATGATACAAAAATCTGTGTTAAATGTAATAGTTGTGATAAGATCAGGACAGGATTTTGCTAGGATCAGTTATACAGTTGAGTATAATTTTAGCATTCTGTAACAGGATTTTCATCACGTGCCTCTCCTGTAAAAAAAAAAACAACAATAGATACAGCAGAGCGAGACAGTTGGATTCATTTTAGAGAATAACATAACATCTATATTTGATGGGAAACATCAAAGAAATGCCTCCTCCTTTCAGAATTTGGAGAATTTTGTGAGCTGTGGTAGTGAGCTGAGACATAAGAATTATAACTAACTACCCAATATTTATCAGTATTATTTCAATTCTTTGTATATTCTTTCCATGTCCTTTCAATGTCACCAGAACCTCCAGTTAAGGAGCCTAAATATGACTATTGCTACGTACAAGTTAACACAGCTGTACACTGAATTGACAACAAAAGATTAGCAACCTTACCAAAATATCCCCAATGGTTAAGTTGCTTTGGCAGTAGCCTACAGTTTGGGTTTGTTAAGTGTTTGGCACTTAAATTTTAAGCAGAGGAGAATAAAGTCATCCTCCTAGCGATGTATAACTTACAAACAGTGTCAGAACACACACACTCCTACACAGACATGAAAGAATCTCCTCCATACAGCACACAAAGAGCAAAGGAGCACATCAAAGCCTGCCTCTGTGTCTGTGGATTTGGGGCTGTGTTTTAGGCTAATCATTTAATGGTCCTATAGCAAGCAGTCTGCCTCACTTCAAAGGCCTAGCTGTGCTCTTTACTGGGAATAAAGGGTGAGAGCATGGAAGATCTTCTCATGACTGAACATGGCCTGTAGAGTTAGTTTAGTTGAGTCATTCAGTTTGAGATCTGATGCAAGATAGTAGTGATACCTTATCAGTGTCAACTGCTCTAGAGTGCTCCAACCAGCCCAGTGTGCTCTGTTGCAACTGCGGCTTAGGGAAGTGAATATGACATGGAAGTCAGGTTTTATTTTGATGGTCCTCTGTAGCCCATTTGCAAATGCTAACAAACTACTCGGTGAAATGCAGCTGATTATCAAAAGTAGTAATTGATTGTGTTATACTTAAGACCTCTAGAGACAAGAGCAGCTGCTCTCGGAATATTTGAATTTCAGAACCAGTGAATATCAACAAACAAATAATACCCAGTTAAGCCGTCAAAAGATCAATTAGATCCTCAACAGGAAGCAAACTGATTTTATTTAAACAGGACCTTTTTTATGGGATGTTTTATTTGAAAAGCACTGTTTTAATCAGTTTGAAGTTTTGTTTGTTTTCAGTAATGATAGAAAAAAGTTCTATTTCTAATTACCTCAGGTGGAGATATTGCTCTTGGCTGGACTCAAGAACAATTTCCCAGTCCACCTTACCCCGACTAAGACATGAGTCCAAATGATCAAGACCGATACTGTTAATTTATGGTCTCAAGTCCAGACTCAAGCACTACAACACTAGTAATTGAGACTACAACCAGAGTAAAGTTTAAGGATATGGTTTAGGTTATTATAAGGCCTTGGGTTCTAGTTGAGGTTAAGGTGAGTGTTAGAGTAAGTGTTAGGTTTAGAGTTACATTGAATAAGTTTAAATAAACCCTCAGAAGCTGAGAGTTACTACTTTTAACTTCCTGTACTATTCAATTGTTATTGCATAATTACATATTTAATCCTATAGTTTGTTACACAATGAAGGTTGAAGGCTGCACTTCTGATGCAAAAAAAATCTGCAAAACAAGACCGCATACAACAACTTTTCATCGATTTACAAATCATAATAAAATATCTCATCTTTTTACAATCACCAATATGTTTAGAATCTTCACTTCCCACAGAATTTCTTTGCTTGTTTCAGTGAGAAATAATGAATATAAAAGTACCACATGCTTTCATTGAATCTGGTGATAACTGTGAGTTATAAGGGCTAATAGATGTTTAGTTAAATGTAAGTTAAAGACATCTACAAAATATCCACAGTGCACCATCCAAATAATATTGATGTTAATCCAATGTTTCTCTGAACTATTGTCAATAAAAGATCTCCACAAAGTCAGACATGAGCAGTGACGGTTGAGAATGGCCTACAGGAGT